AAGGGTGGCCTTTTAGTAAGATCTTCAATATGGGGACAAATATAATATGTATAGCTTTGTGAATACACAAACATTGAGTTTACCGAAAATAGAGGTTCTACGAATATGGATATTCCGTATCGAATCTCAAAGGCACATACGTATTGACAAACGACCAGTTTTGTTTGTTATAGAACTTGTTTATCAAACATTTGAAATATGAAAAGTGTCAAATAAAATGCACTATAACATAATGTGGGAAATGTATAATTTAAAAAAAAAATCGTAGTTTACTCGAGCTTTCTGGAGGAAATAAAGAAAAGCCATGTCATTTTATTAGGAGTAAAACACATTTTTGACCGACTTCCCAAAAGAAGGAGGTATTCAATTCGACGGTATGTTTTTTTTTATTTGCAAAGTAGTTTACTTCCTAATTAAATACAATCTGATATATTTAATGTTTACGAATTGTAGTTCTTTAATACATTAAGTAATGAGTTCAAACAAAGAATCAAATTAGTAAAGAATAATTTTAAATGAAGCGGTCTAACAAGTGGCATTTAAATATTTTGTGCCTGGATACAATTCGTCCGTACCTCGTGTAGGCATGCTGTTTCCACATTTCAAGTTCCGTCTTATGTCTTTTGAATTTAAAATAGAGAAGGTGAAGGACGAACATCGGTCCGGAAGAATATAAACATATTGTAAACTCGTTTTGAATAATAAATTTCGCAAGTTCGTGCAGCACCTACATAATCGGGACGTTTCATCATAACTTTTAAATTATCATAATTCTAGTTAAAATTGTGTATATATCTTAGCTTAAATATATTTTACATAAGATTTTTTTTCTATCCTTACAAGGGAATTTTTACTTGAATTGTAAATTACCGAAAACATATTTTGGCAGACCAAAGTCACGGTAGAATGTAAATCCAATCAAGCCTCTTCTAAACAAATGCATTCGCATTTTATGGTAAAAGTTAATGTAATCCGTATAATGGAACGCTTTCAGTGAATACGTTTTTATAACTTTGCTTTTATTTGAAAGTGTATTAAAGCGAAAAACGTTTTTTCATACATGTATAAAAACAAATATATTATAAGTTTATTAACAACTATTACCTAAATTCATTTCATAAAAATATAAAAAATTAAACTAGTTAACGAATGTTATGAATTAATAAAAATTCAAGATTATATGTATGGGAGGATACACGAGAAGCTTTTCAACATTTTGCTTTCAGCTACATACCCAAATTTACATCCGCATTGAATTTCCTTTCAAAAACTCCTAAGTACCCCACGATTACATCAACGTCCATAAATTGAAGCTTACCTAAGCTTTGCAGATGTTGAACAACCTAACTCTACGTAGTTTGTTAGTTCAAAATTAACTCTACAAAGCTGATGCTAACACTCTAAGCTTCGTTGCAACCAAAACTGAATAAACTTTTACGCGGTCTCGTTTGTGTAGTTCAAGGAAATCTATCAGATTCTCTAAAAGCATTTTGTGTGTTGTTAGATCACGTACAAAATGGACTATGTGCACCTCGTTAAAACTTCCAGCGGCCAACCCTCGACGTTATATCGTCCTTCTTTCATCTCGAACCTGTGACGGAGTTTTATAAACAGATTTTTTTTCGATCTAACTCGCAATAATCAAAGTAAACTTGGTAAAGTTATAAAAATGTTGTTTATATTTTGGTTTTTTTTTTACAGATTTAGTGTGTACCTTCAAAATTGTATAACTAAGTTTCAGACTGACTGTTAAGTATATTTTACGACTTAATTAAGAGCGTTAACAACTATAAAACAGCCTTACGTAAACACCGAATCCCTCGAATAATAAAAGACGCTAGTAACGTAGAAAAAATCTTTTAAAGCGTTCGCACCGCAATAAAGACGAGTTGATTAAAATTACGAACGAACACCGACGCTTGTTTGTTTTAATTTGAAGCAATTTTAATTTGAGCAATTATGTCAAGATTACGAAGAAAATGGAGAAGTCGTCAAGGTGAAACATTTAAAGGGGGTTGTTAGTTATTTTAATTTAAAACGCGACAACACTCTCCAACAAATGTTTATTTTAGCTTGCAATAAAAATAATATTCGGAAAGTAAATTTCATTTAAATTACCTTTAATTAACCTTTCAAATTTAATTTCATGACAATATTTCCGTTATAAGCGTATCGAAGTGATGTAAACTCCATTGCAATGTAAAGTTTTGAACTCTTCTGTATACATTGGTAGTTCACTACGACACAGAACTGGCGAACTTTGGCCTGCAAACTGTCTCTTTAAGTTTATAAAGCACTCGACGCTTTGACGAACATAAAGTGGTGTTACAGATTAAGTTATTTAACTAGCGCCAAACAGAATTAACTGCTTTAGTTTACATTAAAACTGAATTGGTATTTGTGCTATCGGAAAATTGCTTTGCAATAACAATCATACTAATATTATAAATGCGAAAGTTTAGATGGATGGATGGATGTTTGTTAGAGTTTGTAGCCTAAACAGCTGAACGGATTTCGATGAAATTTGGCATAGACGTAGAGGATAGTCTGGAAGAATACATAGGCTACACAGTTTTTTTTTTAATTCCTCGCGGACGGAAGCTAGTTTTAAATAATAATAATTTTTGGTGCCACATTTTGAGCAAACGTTTAAACTTTTTTATTATGTGTGTCCGTCCGCAAGTCGCGTTTGCTCCGGGTAATCTCCGAAACGAGTAGAACGATATCAACCGGACTCACTGAAGGGTAGTTGACATAGACGGGCATGTTCAAGGCTACATTTATATCTTAAGATTGCGTGGACGAAATCGCTGACTACAGCTGGTTTATATATAAGATCGTGTATTCTATCTTAAGACGCAATAGGTTTGAAAAATAGTCGTTTCCTAAATTAATTATCGGTAATACATTTTAGTTAGGGAAAAGTAACAAGCCTGCGAAATACGTATAACTACTAAACAAGTGTACGCCCTGAGCTTATTAACGGAAACATAGATACTTGTTATGTTGACTTAATAAACTGGAGAGTGAAAGAGCGCGTTTGCGAAACAAAAGCAGACTGCTAACTACTAACAAGCTCATATTTCATGAACGCTATTTGTTAATATTAAATAATAACAAAAGCTCTATTGTTAGGAATTTGTTTCTCAAGTGTAACGGATAGCTAATAAACATTTCTTCCTGAAGCGAAGTTTCCTTTGTGTGAAATCTTCCAGATACAATATAGTCAAATTAAAAATAAAATAAAATAAAATAAAACACTATTTATTGACCAAAAAGAAAATTAAAGGAGCATAACTTACAATTATTAATGAAATAAAAATAAAAATACAAACTCTTGGTCAAAAGGAAAAGGCTCAGCTGATGCGGCCTCCAGCTTGCCA